CTCGGGCTGTCTCCATCGACTTCTGACAAGAAATTCTTCAATGTGGCCAATGAATTGGCTCAGTTCCTGTCGATCCCAACCATCGACGCTCCTTTGACTGCCCTCTATACTTCAGCCAATATGCTGGGGGCCCCAGAAGATGTCCTTAAGGCAGAGGACAAAAAAGCAGATCTCACTCTGCAGCGTGGCCACCAGGCAGCGGCATAGGCAGTCCAGGCCTCAACCACTGCCTCATTCTTCACCTGTTCCTGTCTTCTCTGGCTGCAGGACCTGCAACAGTGTATCCCCATCGCAGACTTCTGCGCACATCAGGATATCGCCAAACTAGTGGCGGCGGTTCAGTTTACATCTGATGCCACCCTCTCATCTGCCAGATTCACCTCCCGAGCCTTGGCATCTTCTGTAGCATCTCGCAGACTGTTGTGGCTTCNTATTTAAGTACAATGACAATAAAGATTATACTTGAGAAACAACTTACATCTAAATACTAGTAAGACAAAGGAGATGGTGTTCTTCAGATCTCATCAACTGCCAGAGAAATTAGAAATTTTATTTTGAAGGGATCTGAGATATTAAAGGCCTGCCCTTATTTTTGGTAGCTCTTTTATTTATTTCCAGAATATAATCAGCTCCAGTCAATTCTCTAAAATGTGTAGGAAAGATTAACTTTGAGGATGGAAAAAAGTTTTTCCCCCAGGCACCAGAACTTCCTAAAGTTAGCTTCACTTCCACAGGGACACCTTTAAAATGTGTTTCTGCACATTGTCTATGGAGATTCTCAGTCATCCAGGTCATGGTTGTCCATAAGATGCTTTTTTCAAAAAGCAACTGGACTTCCTTGTTTTTCTCTGAAGGCGTTTTGCTTCTCATCCACGAAACTAAAGAAGTTGCCTCTTGAAAAAAGAACCTTTGGGTTTCTGCACATCTTTGTTAGCCACATAAAACTGGATGTTGCAACCTTCCACGATCCCGAGCATAACAGTGTTATGATATCTGTCTGACAGAGAAATCAGAAATTCTATGCCCATTGAGAATTTAAAGTTTGAACGATTAAGATCAGCATCCGCAAAACAGGCACTTTTTCTCTAAGAAGAACCTATCTTCAGAAGAACTTCACTGGTGTCCTCTATAATTTAATAAAGCTGGGTGGAGCTTTCTTCATCATAATACTAGAAATACTTAGCATAAAATACTGGACACCACTGAATTAAGAACTATCCTACTCATTTGAAAGACTATTATGAGATCACCTAATATTTAGTTACACTCAAATATTTAAGTAATATAAATGGGGAGCTTCTGTACCTCATGTAATATGCACAGTATATTAGTATAGTATATAATAGTATGCTGTATACTATTATACTATAATAGCATAATACTATACAGCTTAAGATAATCCAGTGTTCTCAACCTGTAATTCACGGACCCCTGGGGGGGGGCACAATGTCATCACAGGGGATTGGCCAAAGCTTGAAGAAATGTTATGATTTAAATCTTGAGTTTTGGGGGTCCATAGTCCTGGTCCGTAGTCAAGAAGGGTATTTAAAGGGGGTCTGTGTTGAAGAAAAGATTGAGAACCACTGAGATAAGCCATTGTTTTGTAAGTAGGCTATTAGTAAGAAGGGTAGCAGTTATTGGGATCAAGTATGTACTTTAAATCAGGGAATTCTGAAAATAAATGTACAATTGAAATGGGAGGTTCATCTTTTAGTTTTGATGGGCTAGCAGTTGGAGGGGGAAAAACCCCACAAAGCTAGAATTTTAGATAAAAGTGTTCATGTGTTTTAGGGGTGTAACAATATCAAGAAAAGTTGGGAGTTAACTTTTTTTCTATTTCTTTTCTTCTTTTCTTTATTCCTTTTCACTTTCACCTTTCTTGTTTTCTTCATAATTGTCTTTTCTTCCTTTTTTATATTTTATTTTTTGCAGAAATTTAATAAACTGCATTTTTAAAAGATAAGCCATTGTTTATTCTATCAGTAACTCAATGCCAAAGTAAAATATTTACAATTACATAAATGCCATCATAAATGAACAATCCAATTGTCCTTCTCTGAATAGATTTTTGTATAGGGATACAAAATGCCAGGGTCAAATTTAGCATATTGCCAAGACATTTGCATTCACTGCTGGATATTTGTGTAATAAAATCTTAGTTCTGCCCTAGTAATCGGTGAAATCTCTTTAGCCTCTATCATATTGACTCAAATATATTTAGCTATCACCCAGCTTCTCAAAAAAATACATCTTGAAAGTCACTTGATGTATTTTTTCCTCCTATTTATCTGCTCAAATCTCAACACTTTCCATCTGCTGGGCATCAGACCCAAATCTGAACTGCCATATTTGGGTCAAGTGACCACTAGGTGGCAGCAAAAAGATTAAGGAAACATCAGAAGCTTGTTAGCATCTTTTTCAAATAAACATTATGAAAAGGCTACAGTTCACTTCATCACATTGATGGAAACTGATTTAAATAGGGATTTAAATAGGGATGAGGAGGGAAAGACAGATTAGAAGCACCTGATCAATCAACAATTGTTATTGTGCTTGTTGAGAACTTTTGACATAGTCTGAAACATTTTGACTTGAATCTCCTTATCAATCATGGGGTTAAACTTTAAAGTCTATTTTTTTTCCAAAAATCGGTAATAGTATGTTCTGGCACATTGATATTACATTGTTATAGCAGTTAGACTTCTTTAATAGCAATAGCAGTTAGACTTATATACCGCTTCATAGGGCTTTCAGCCCTCTCTAAGCGGTTTACAGAGTCAGCATATTGCCCCCAACAACAGTCTGGGTCCTCTGCTTTTCAGAAGTCCATTAATCGGTTGGGTATAAAAAAAAAATTGTTTATCAGAATATAAAATAT